GTGTAGCAAAAACTCCAAAGCTGTACCAGGAGCTGTGGGCATCTGGGCAGACACAGGATGTTGGGTAAAGTGTAACAAGAAGCCTGAAGCAGGGGCAGGAAACAGCAGGGCTGTTTCAAGCAGCTGGTAGACACTCTTCCTGGAGCAGGGAGTGGGTTGGAGTCTTGGATTTTCCCCTCAGGCACCTGAGCAGATGGTGAGGGTAGTTTCCAGTGTTGAAAAGGTCCCAGTTTAATGGCTGCTCCTACAAGCAAAGGCTTACTGAAGGTATGGAGAAGCAGTGAAGGACAGAACTCAGTGGTGGTGGCAAATTCTCCCCACAGCAGCAGCCCAGCACCAAAATCATGACTGTCCCACCTCTGATCCTGAGAGTGAGCAAGAAGGCTAAGACCTAGCCCTGTCCCTCACCCCTTAGCCAAAATCTTGCAGTATCTGTGCACTTCCCAAGAGAAAACCCTCCAGCTCAGAGATGATATTAAACTGCACCCTTCCCCATCCTCCTCCTCCCAGACACATCTTTTGTGTCTCAAGTATTGCAGTTATCATCTCTGAGGCAACAAATGGGAGAAAATTCCCTGAGAAAGAAAGAAAGAAGAAAAAGAAAGGAAAAATCCTAAGCTCCAATATTCTTGTTGAGCTGTACTGGCTCTGGAGCTTCTGATGTATGAGGTCTTTTGAGACTTCAGTGTTATGCTTAGAAGTGGCATATGAAACTCCTTTGCAGATTATTTCCACAGATTCTGCATTTTGGTCCAAAAGTATCAGCAGCTGGACAATAATATTTGATTAATCTGCTGTTTTCTGCTGGTGTTGTCACACAGTCCCATGACCCATGACTGCTGTGCTTCATAGGACTACAGCCAGGTACTCTGCATGTTGAATGGTGTAGTGCAATGACAGTGGTCAGGCTTTTTCCATCCTGGGAAGTTTCCATAACTTGGCTGAACATGGCCTCTGACAGACCTGACTGTCCTTGGACATCCTTCTGCCTTTCTGCAGGGCAGGAGTTTTCCATTATCCTCCTGTCCTGTGGCCAGTACTGGTACATGGATATGCCTGCATCCTTCCCATTTCCTGCAGCAGCGGTTCTCTGAAGCCTCAGCAGTGTTAAAAACATGGGAGTATTTTTTAATTCATCTCTTTGTTCTTGAGATTTTTACACTCATGATTTTCAGCTTCTCTGCAAATCAGAAAGAAAACTTTAAGGAAGTTTAAAACCAAGAAGACTGATAATGTGAATTGACTGTTCCCGTAGAAAAAATGTTGCAGAGTGGACAGTACTGTTTTGCAGCAGCAGCAGGTCCATCCACCACCATTAGACTATCTCTGTCCCACTGTCTCAGGGTGGAATGCATCTCCCAGGGCTTGCCACTGGCTTGTAGCAGCAGTGTTATTTGGAATCAATCTTTGTTCTTTCCCCTCCTTACCTCTACTTCTGGGGTGATGATGGGATGATCTGACCCCTTTTGGGCTACAGCCATATGTAGAGTAGCCATATGTGGAGTGTAGAGTCAGGTTTGTGGCAAAGAAGTGAGTTAACTCTGGCAGGAATCCTTTGTGTCTTTTTGTTTCAGCGATGTGAGAACTACTGAGGAGGAAGCTTACTATTTCACATGAAGGAGGGATGTGTGTGATTCCCACCCTTTTCTCATGCTGCAGCAGTCAGTGTGTGCGACATGCTGCGTGTGTGTGCATCCTTGGATGGCAGATCCATGGTGTTTGTTTTTGTATTGGGCGAGGGCTGTCTGATAAGAAGTGCTGTCAAGAAGTGTACTTGATGGACCTTGGAATATCTGGTGAAATTTGTGAGGCAGTCATGCAGTGTTCATTCATCTACCTTAGTTTCACTTACGGCTGTACCATTTGTCTGCCCAAGTCCTGTGGTGGTAATAACAGGGCTTGAGATTTTCTCCCCGACTTCTCCTTTTCCCCTCCCTTCCTTCATATTTCTTTTCTCTCATTTTCCTTCTTGCCCTCCTTCCCTCTCTCTATCTCTCTTCTCCCCCTCCCCCTCCCCCCTTTTCCCCCCTCAC